AGAATCAAACTCTCTCTGCAGCTTCTTTATCTCCTCCACATACTTCATCATCCTTTCCTCCCAGACCTCAAACCCTTCCTGGAATTGACCCACCACCAATTGTGAGTCTGAATGCACCTGCACTGCACGAGCTCCGCCACTTAAGGCCATTTTTAGTCCCTTAATGACCGCTTCATATTCCGCTTCATTATTTGATATCTGGTAGGCCACCTTGATTGCGAACTCCAGGCTATCACCTTTCGGCGACATAAGTACGATGCCTAGGCCACCTCCAGCCCTCAACATCGAACCATCTGCAAACACTTGCCACACCCCTTCAGACTCCTCGCTCTCCTTCGTCCCCTCTTGTATAAAGTCAGCCAGTGCTTGAGCCTTAATCGCCCTCCTTGGCTCGTAGATAATTGTGTATTCACTCAGCTCGACCGCCCATTTGACTAACCGCCCTGACACGGAGGGTCGACCCAGTGTTTCTCCCAATGGCATGTTCGTTCGGACCTTCACCCTATGTCCCAAGAAATATGGTCTCAGCTTTCTTACGGTGACCACCACTGCCAAGGCCCCTTTTTCAATCTCTGAGTACCTCCTCTCCGCCCCTCGCATTACCTTACTCACGTAGTAGATCGAAAATTGGGCTGTCCCTTCCTCCCGCAATAACACAGAGCTCACTGCCGTCTCACCAATGGATACATATAACACTAAGTCCTCCCCTTGCGCCGGTTTTGCCAATAATGGTAGATCGACCAACATCCTCTTCAACTCCTCTAATGCTTTCTGGGCTTCTTCTGTCCACTGAAATTTCGAGCTCTTCCTGAGTGTCTTAAATAGGGGCCCGCTTTTCTCAGCTACTTTAGAAATAAAACGGCTCAGGCCTGCTATTCGACCAGTTAAGATCTGCACCTCCTTCACCTTCGTGGGAGGCTGCATCTCGATCACCGCCCTCACCTTCTCCGGTTTAACCTCGATCCCCCTCTTCGTGACCATGTAGCCCAAAAATTTTCCAGATTTGACCCCGAACGAGCACTTAGCGGGATTCAGCTTCATCCCATACTTCCGGGAGGGTCATGAATGTTTCTTTTAAGTCGTTCACATGGTCAATTTCCTCTTTCCTCTTTACCAGCATATCATCTACATATACCTCCATGTTCCTTCCCAACTGATCCTTAAAAATTTTATCCACCAACCTCTGATATGTCGCCCCTGCATTCTTTAGACCGAATGGCATCACCACATAGTTGTATGTTCCACGGCTTGTTACAAAGCTGACCCTTTTCCAATCCTCTCGAGCCAGCGGGATCTGATGATAACCCTGGGATGCGTCCATCAAACTGAGTAGCTCACACCCGGCTGTTGAGTCGACCAGCTGGTCGATCCTGGGAAGCAGATATAAATCCTTCGGGCATGCCTTGTTCAAATCTCGGAAATCTATACACATCCGCCATTTCCCCTCTGATTTTAAGACCATCACTGTGTTCGATAGCCACTCTGGGAACTGGATCTCCTTTATGTGACCAGCCATCAAGAGTTTTTCTACCTCCACTTCGATTACTTTATCCATCTCTGCCCCGTGGTGTCTCCTCTTTTGCTTCACCGGTCTTACCGTGAGGTCGATGTTCAACCGGTGCTCAATAACCTCGGCCTTGATGCCGGTCAACTCTTCCGTTGAGTATTCGGACACATCCGCAAAATCCCTTATCACCTTAATTAGCCTCGATTACACTGGCTCCTCTAATTCCTTCCCGATCCGGAACTTCCTTTGTTCGCAACCCTCGACCATCTGTATCTCCTCCACTTCGCCACCTGGCTGCATTTCGACATTCTCCTTCCCTTTCTCTAGTTTATGTCTTTCCTCCTTCGACCTCGACCCTCCCGGTCGATTAACTTCCTCCCCCTTAGGATGCATATGCTTCCTCGCTAGTTGCTTATTGTTGCTCACAGTGGTCTGGTAGCATCTTCTCGAGGTAAGTTGATCCCCAGCGATCTCACCAACGTTTTCGCCCACCGGATATTTGATCATCATGTGGTACGTGGATACGACCGCCTGGAACACATTCAGGCTCGTTCTCCCCATTATGATGTTGTAGGATGACTCAGCTCTTACGACCACAAATCTCACCATTCGAACCTTCCGAGTTGCTCCCTTTCCCAGTGCTACCGATAGAGTCACCTCTCCCATTGGCATGACCTCTCCGCCGTTGAAACCATACAAGGCTGTGGCCACCGGCTTCAGCTCCACATTCAACTCCCGATTGATTTGCACAAAGCAATCATAAAACATGACATCAACCGAACTCCCTGTGTCTATAAACACCCTTTTCACATCAAAACCTGCAACTTCGGCCGTAATTACCAAGGCATCATTGTGAGGCACCACCACCCCTGCTGCATCCTCTGCCCGAAAACTGATTTCTGGCACCCGGGCCGTGATACTCACCTCTTCCCTCTTCCTTTTCATTGCTCGAACATGGCCTCTCCTCGCATTATTCGAGTCCCCGTCAGTCGGTCCTCCTGAAATCATATATATTGTGCCTCTCTTTACTTGGCCTCAATCTCCTTCTCTTTCCCGCTCCCTACTTCCTCGCCTCCTCTTCCCCTCATCTCTTTTTCGACCATCTCGACCACCTCGTGCATCTTCATCATCATCTTCCTCGCTCCTCTCCACCGAGTCCTCCCGACACCTTCTCTTCTCCTTCCTCCTCCCTTTATCCTGATAGACAAACTCCTTGAGATGCCCTGCTCGAATGAGGAGCTCAGTCTCGTCCTTGAGATGCCGACAATCCTCAGTAGTATGGCCATAGTCTTTGTGGAAGCGGCAATATCTCCTCGACTTCGGTTAGGTGGGCCCCTCGAACCTCTACCTTGGCCACGTCACATCTTTCCCATCTATCCCTTTCTCCATGGCCATCAGAACCTCAGCTACCTTCGCGTTCAATGGGGTGTAATCATAGAATCTCTTCCCTCCAGAGATAGGTCGGTCCTTCCACCTGTCCTCTCGCCCCCGATCCTGCTTAGCTCGCCCCTCCCTCCTGGGCGAGGCTTTCCTTTTAGGCGACACCGCTTTCTCCTTCCTCGACTCCCATCGACCTAGCTCTTCTAGTTTGGCAAACTCCGCCTCAGTCTCCTCGAGATTGATATATTTCCTACACCTCCTCAACACCTCATCATACGTGTGAGCAGGAGTCTTAGCCAGAGAAGTTCGACACGGTCCTGCCCGCAAACTCCTTATCAATCCTCCCGCCTTGACCTCGTCGACCGCCGATGGAATCTCCAAACAAGCCTGATTGTATCGAGTGACATATTTACGCAGTGACTCCTTCTCGCCTTGTCTCATCGCCATAAATGTGAAATATGTTTTCTCCTGAGCCACCGCGCTCGAATATTGATTTGTCAACTTCTCCGCAAAATCCTCAAAGTCCACTATCGAGCCTGGGGGGAGCTGTTGGAACCAGTCGAGCGCCCCTCCCTTAAGGGTCGATAAAAAGGCCCTGCAACTAACGGGATCAGTATATTCGTGCAACACAGCCATATTTTCAAATGTCCTCACGTGTCTCGACGGATCAGAAGTCCCATCGAACACCAAGTTGGTATTCTTGTAATTATTTGGCAAGGGTGTTGCTAGTATATCCGCCGAGAACAGGTGTCCTCGAGCGCGCCTCTCCGCTCGACCATCCACCTTAGCCTGCAATTGGCGCAGTTGTTCCGCCATTCTCTCCATCTCCCGGTCATGTGTGGGCCCGCCTCCACCATAGCTGGATTCATCCTCCTCCGCGTTTTGGCGTGACCCTGCAATAGTGTTCAGCGTTGCCGTAGCCCGGGAGAGACTGTTTGTGACTTGCTGAACTGCTTGCGCGGCTGCCTCCGCCACCATTTGTTGCATCTCCTGCCTGGTCATTATTACCTGCTGGTCGGGGACCTGAACCGCTGCTCGCGGCGGTGCTCCTCCTTGGGCCACTGCTCTTTATGGTTGCATCCTCGTTCCTCCCGGTTGCGCCACCGTCGCTCCCAGTTGCACTCCCACTCCTCCTGGTTGCGCTGCCGTTGAGCTGTGTGGTGGTGGTGGTGGCATCGCCGCCGCATCCGCTGCGCGAACCTCGTGAGCACGGTTGGGGCCAACGTCTCCTCCGGGAATCGCCATTGCCACTCCCACACCTTGGAGCACAGGTACAGGAGTGATCGGCGTCTGTGATGGGCCAGAAAAACCCGGGGGAGGACCCTGTTCCAACGGCCTGGTCGTTGTCCAAGCATCATCGAACATTGACTGTAAGTTTTTGGGAATTCCGTCCGCCATAGCTGAGCTTCAAGCACACCTTTTCAAATGAAAGTCCCACAGACGGCGCCAAATGGTAACACAAAACTTCTCGACCGGCTGGAACTTGAGTAATCGCCTTCCTTCTCACCGGTTGAACGTCGTGCACCTACAAAGAACTCTCACACCGGAGGGGATTTCTGGTGAAGAGCCTCCGAAGCTTAAGTCAGTGTATGTTCAATCAATTCTCAAGATTAAGTAGTAGAATGATCGTGTTGAAGAAGAAAGGCTCACCCCCTTTATATAGGGGTGAGATACCTGACCTAGGGCTGCCCGGATTTGGTGAGCTGTCTGCCCTAACTGCCCGTCCGTACACACCAAACGCGTGTGTCAGAGGTAGCCGTCGCCACTATCGCCACCACCAATCCTCTTTGGACGCGTGTCCTCCTGCACATGGGGTAGGCTGTCAGAGGTGGTTATCACTATCCACCACTGCCTTCTCGACACGTGTCCCCCTGCACATGGGGTAAATATTCTTCTGGAATTCTGTCAGAGGCTTCTTCACGCGCCTATGACTAGGCCGAACAGCGTGGTGTTAAGTCCTCGAAGTAATCGACCTGTTGAGGTCAAATAGGTTTCTCGATCGTGTATCTGGTCGAAGGATAGTTTGGTCGACGGCTTTGCTTGGTCGACTGGTTAACTGCTCGATTTCTTTGACTTCCTCATAATACGACCTCCTCGACCGGTCAATAGACCGGTTCAGCCTTGTGGGTATAATATCCTATATCACTCCTAAATCTAAATTTTAAAAACACATACTTTATATGTGCTCATATAAAGTATTTGCACATTATATATCAACAGGTTGCACTTTATAAAACATCACATTGTACTTTATTGACCAACACGTTGCATTTTATCAACACTTTCCAAAATTACAGTAGTACACTCTATACATCAACATGTTGCACTTTGTAAAACAACACGTTGCACTTTAGAAAACAACTTGTTGCACTTTATCACGACTGCTAGATCGCATGATAAACGTCGAAACTGGCCGAAATCAAAATTTTTAAACAAAAAATTATAAAATTAATAAATAACATTATTAACATAAATATAATTCTAATATAATAAGATAATTTTATTAACCGAACCGAATAAACCAAATAATTATGGTCATTTTCAATTTGATTTGGTACAAAAGATCGATAGGTTCAATCTGCACAATACAGACCGACGCAGTGCACCATAGTGATGTACGAATTGCACCTTAATAATTGTTAGATTGCACCGTATATTTCTTTTATATATATACAATTTTTTTATTAAAAAAATAATATAAAATGTAAAAAAATAATATTATATACTAATCATGTTCTTTTATAGTAAATAATATAATTTTATTTCGGTTATTTCTATTATTTATGTTAACCGATTATTTTTTCAACCATAAACAAATTACATGATATTAAATATAACTATAGAAAACTTAATTTTTTATAATATAAATAATATTGTATTTCAAGTTTTTTTGGTTAATTCAGTTAACCGAACGAAACCAAAAAAAAAAAAAGAAAATACAGGTAATCCATCTCAGTTTTAATTTGATTTGGGACAAAAATTCGACCGGTTCAAATTACACGATAATCACATAAACCTTGCTTGATAATGATAGTCGAATTGCACATTAATTACTGTCGGATTGCACCACAACAACCAATTAAATTTCTGGGTTTGAATTTTGAATGTGTTGATACGATGTCGGCTTTATTTTTTAAATAACCAAACTATCCGAAGCGAATAAATAATGTATAAATACTATTATTATTGTTGTTGTTGTTGTTGTTATTATTATTATTATTATTATTATTATTATTATTATTATATTATTATTATTATTATTATTATTATTATTTTAATATTTCAGTACGGTTTTATTATGAGTTGGGATAAAAGTTCGATCGATTTGGTTAATTTATTAACATTGTGCAATCTAATTATTAATCTTGTGTACTTTTAAAATTTTTTATAATTACCAATTTAACACATGAGCTCAACTGAAATAAACTTAATTTTCTTAATTTGCAGACATACCCCTAGAACATATCTAATGTCCAAAATCATGCCCACCATCTCATCCTCACATATGCCACAGTCCCACAATTCACGAGCTTCATTCAAACAATCGTTGGACTAAAAATGTGAGGATGACCATCAATCTATCCCGGCAACGGCGACCGCGACGACAGAATGAAATCGACACCTCAAATTGAATACAGAAATATGAATTTAGGTGTTTCAATTAGGACTCAATTTAGGTATTCTACAGTTCGCGAGAAGGCGAGTGTCGGAGGAGAGAAAACTGTCTGTGTTTGGGACTGCGGC